GCACCGCCCTGGCGTCGCCATATTCCATACTATTCAGATTCATCGATCGACAAACGAAGCCGATTACAGGGAAAAGAAAGCTTAATTACAATAATGGTAATCGCTAGCCTTTGCTCGTCCAAATGGCTCGGCTTGCCGTGTTGCACAAAATTAAAGGCGTAGCAGTTCCATTTATACGCCACCTATTACCAGAAGCTAATAATGAAATTCATATTGCCCCTGCTTTATACGAACGAGGAAGGAATCCATCTTGAGCGAGAGAATTGGAGGCCGTGTTTTTGTTGGTGTGTGTGTGTGTGTGTGTGTGTGTGTGTGTGTGTGCTGTGTGTGTGTGTGTGTGTGTGTTATTTAGTGATTTACGTTCACATATAGATTAGGAGGAGTATAGATAAGGCGAATAACTACAGTAGTAAAGCGGTATGAGATAGCTTCAGCAGTTAATATAGCTAGCGTATTGAGGACCCTACCGAGATTCCGAAGAGTTTATGTATATTAATTTGTGCGAGATTCTTGTAAGTGCGGTGACTGCAATGAATCAACGTACATGCATTTTACCACCTAGGCACCACACACACACACACACACCACACACACACAATCACACACACGACGCACGCACCCACGCACGCACGCACGCCACGCACGCGCACGCACGCACGCACGCACGTACACGCACTACACGCACGCACGCACACACACGCACGCACGCACGCACACGCACACGCACACGCAGCACGCACTACGCACACGCCACACGCACCACGCACACACACACACACACACACACACACAAACACACACACACACACACACACACGCACGCACGCCACGCAACACGCACACGCCACACGCACACACACACAACACACACACACAAACACCACACACAACACACACACGCACGCACGCACGCACAGCACCACGCACACGCGACGGTCACGCACAACGCACACGCCACACGCACACGGACACACGCCACACGCACACACACACGCACACGCACACGCACACACACACACCACACACCACACATCACACACACACACACACGCCACACACACACGCACACCAACACACACTTGACGACCTTCAGTGAGAAGTCTACGCACTCGTATCCCTGCGTGAGTCTGCCGAGAGAGATCACGTCGACGTGCGGACCCATGTAGCGGCGAGCGTTGTCCTCCGTCACCCCTCCGCTCGCCTCGACACAGAGCCGCGGGAACTCCGCCTTCAGACACGCCGCGTCCTCGTGAAGCTTCTGAATGAGAGCGAGGAGACTTTAATATAGTAAGACAATAAGCTGTTATGGGTGAAAAATCGCAGGGGAAGAGCAGGAGGAAATAATGTCGTTGAGATTTTTGCGTCGGGAGTTGCGAAGCGGGAGTGTCACTCTGGTTAATGTGGTGTTAAATTCTTTTGGATGCCAATATTATTATTATTATTATTATTATTATTATTATTATTATTAGTATCATTATTATATATTGGTTTATTATTAGTATATTGATGGGTGGCCGAGATAACATGAGGTTGCATGTCCCTCATTGACAATTCTTAACTGTCTTATCAACGTGAAGAATTGAAGTATAAAGGCCTTATGCAATCATGCGGTAACGTAAAACTCTACACACAAATTACAAGAGCTGTATACTGCGAATTCGCAAACTTGTTCAAATAGAAACAGGAATTAAAACATCAGCCTTACAAGCGTCATACAACTCCTGCCTCCTAGTGGCACGCATCGCAATCTGTGTGTAAACCGTAACCCAAGCATCTCTATGTTCAGGCATACAGACTTGTACTCTGCTGCTTTCAACGTGCAGACTTACAACCGAGGACGGTGGGTGATGTGCGGACACACGCACACATACCTGTGGTCCGACGTTGTCCAGCATGACGATGTCAGCCCCGGCACGCGCCGCCTCAAGAGCATCGGTGATATCGAGACACTCCACCTCAATCTTCATGGAGAAGCCACATACGCGTCTAGCTTCCTTCACGGCCTGCGTAGACATTACCAGTTACACACGGGGTGGTTGGTTACCCAGCACGCGGCAATCATGCTGTCTAAATATCACTGACAAATTTCTGAATGTTCGATTTTTTCCGACAGTGCACGGTCTTTGCCTACTCGGCTAGATATATCACCTCAGTATGTTGTACCCAAGTAGTGCCTGTAGGGACTATGTCTCCCTGCCCTCTGTTTGATCTGGCTCGTTTAGCTATTTCTGACTAAGCCTAACCCTAACCCTAACCATATATTATATATATATATATATATATATATATATCATACTATTATCATGGCGTACACATAGCTAAACGAGCCAGGTCAAACAGAGGTCAGGGAGACATAAACCTTATCTGCCTAAGTAGTTAGCTTTACCTGATCTTCACTATGATTCACACGTGTACGACCTCACGACTGCTCTCACAATGTCACAGTACATTTTGTTCACCTCACCCAGCAGTACAAGCTCAATCGCTCACCACATCTCATCCCATTCTACCCGTCCCACGCTCGGTCGCCCGCCCGTCCGCCATCCATCCTTCTTCGACGTGTAGACGTTGGTATTACCTGGGTTATGGATCCGGCGGACCAGATGTGGTTGTCCTTGAGCATGACCATAGAGGACAGGTCGTACCTGTGTTGGGAGAGTCCACCGACTAGCACGGAATACTTCTCCACCATGCGAAATCCCGGAGTAGTCTTTCTAGTAGCGGCAATCTCGCCGTGCCATTCTGCAAACCGAAGTCGTAGATAAATAACGATGCCAGCGCACGTCAACGATTTTTGTCTCAGCTCGAGATTTCTGTCAAAGTACAGTATTGATGACAGATCCGAGTGATATCTGATTAATTCAGCTAAAATCAACTAAACATTTTTTTATTATTTTTTTTTATTTAATCTTTTAATTTCACCGTGCCATTCTGAAAAACGAAGTCGTGGATAAAAAACGATACTAAGACATGCCGGCGATTTTCTTATCAACTCTAGAGTTCTGTCAAAGTATAGTATTTACAAGTGAGCCGCGTAATATCTGATTAATATGGCAAAAATTTCAAAATTCTTTTACGATTATGCAGCGCATGAAATCGGTTACTTAGTAACTTCACTCATCTCGTTTTTAATTCTCCTGTTTTAAACGCCAGATTTTCATTATGAATGGTGTCTTGGAGGCCAATTATTGACCCCTAAAGCTCGAGCTCACTGTATCTCTCAAACTCACCAGCTTTTTCGGCAATTACTCTGAGCCTAGATGCAGCAGTCGCAACACCACTTGCTCGACTAATGCAGTTCAATGCAACTCTCTCGCCAAGTAGAATATTTTTCGCTTTTCCAGTCACTGTCGCCACCTAGTGGAAAGGTAGTACGTGTAAGTGACACAGTGAAAAGGTAGGTAGCATTATAGATAAATACATGGTTGTCTACACAACAGAGCTTACATAGCAGTGTTAGGTGTGATTCTACTGGAGAGCCGCATGGGTGAAACATTAAAAAACTTTTACAAGTGGCAAGGTATATATTTTATGCATGCCTGCATGATGTCATGAGTTATATCTTCTATAAATTAAATACTGGTCTGATTGTCTTTCTTAATTGTTGCTAAACCATGTTTGTAAGACATCATATCATAACAATTATTGGTTAGAGCTGTCTGTTAAATGCATCAAAGTTAAAGTTAATTACATCATAGCCAATTAAGTTGACAAATGTCAATTACAGTTACCTCCCATTATGCAGAAATAGCTATAACATAATTTTAAAAAATGAGTAAAACCTGGCATATAGGGTGCAAAGCAACTCCCTCTAGATAATTCCAGGACACATGGCAGTCTAGGTGCTCAAATATGGCATTGAAAAATGGCACACCAGCTAGGACACCTACAAGAACATAGTAGCATAGTCATATAGGAGCCATCAACGGGGTAACCTTGACAATGTCCTTCACCTAGAAGATGAGTTAAGGTCACTCATAATAATAACTAAGAGTTGGACCAATTTCGCACTTCGGCAACTCCGAGTTGTCGAAAATAGAACATGTTCTAATCTCCCAACTAGTTGCTATCGATCGGTTGGACGCGCAACTTTAGCGTTTACACTGCCGATTGTCGGTTGTATAGTTGGGAAGTTGGTCCAATTCGTCAAACACAAAGTCGGTAACCTAGCGTAAACCCAGCTTTAGCTGCAGTTCATGTTACCGTAATGCCAGTGACACTAAAGCTACACTGACTTGTCTTGGATGATTGGCACTTTAAGGGGTCAGGAATTTGCTGTTGTCGGCATTCCGCCGAAAATATTTTGTGCGCACCACCAGCTAGTGATTATGTCACGAATTTCTAGCACCATCAAGTAGTATATTTGTGTGTTAGTTGTACAAAATTAAATGTATGAAAATACAATTAGTGTTTCTGTTTACTTTTCATGCTTATATACCTTCTTTATATGCCCTAATTTGCCGGTGAAAAACAGAGAGACGCCAGTATCTGAACAGTACTGGGGGAATAGTGTTAGACAACAGAAATTACCAAGCCGTCTAGATTTTTGCAAATTTAACCAACGTAAAAACATTTTTATCAGGTGAGAGTTTGAGGATATATTTGGTAACGTCAGTTCTTACTTTTAATGTAAAAAAATGGCAATTTTTTTTTTTACAAATTTTACCATGGAAAATATTAGATAGATAGATAGTACCAGGGTACGTTCCGGTATACCGGACCTTACCCAGGGTACGATCCGGCAGTACCTCGGAGGACATAGACGCTCTCAGCGTTACTGACACTGACACTGACGCTGAGAGGGCCTATGTCCCTCAGGGTACTGCCGGAACGTATCCTGGGTACGGTCCGGTATACCGAAACGTACCCTGGTACTATCTAATATGCCGGACCGTACCTCGCCTACTCAACTAACGAGTCTAGGAAGTCGCCTACGCCTACACACTAACCCTAACCATGATATCAAATAGTTACCAGGGTACGTTCCGGCAGTACCCTGGTGGACATAGACCCTATACGCGACACTGACAGTCATCTACAGTTTCTTAAACCTTGCACTGATCTTCTGATACATCTGCAAAACTTACCAGCACTCTTACAGAGTAGGACAGCCGTTTCTTGCTTCTCCCCTACAACGAACGCACCATAGTCAAAGTTTGGTACGTCTTCTTTTAACCAACCCGCTACTATATCTCTTAGTGCAACTGGATTGAGTAAATTTTTGAAATTAGGCCCACTCACTGGGTGACTTACTTCAGGCTCTGCCATGGCATGTGGACTGAGTTCGGATCGTTTACGAGTTACCAATAATAAATCTAAAGGGAATACGTAATTATTAGCCGCCCTCACTCAGGAAAAAGTCAGAATGACAGCAAATCAGAGAAAGTTCGAAAAGTAAACTACTTAAGTGATATTTTTAGTCAGATTTTGAGAAAATGCAAGAAAACAATCGAATCACTCAGCTGTTTATGATAGGAAGCGCCACCTCTCGGGCACTTAGCGAAACACTTTGCGTTGCCATATTATACCATCTTCTCTGTTGAAAATATTATATTAGGAATATGATATTATAATTATCATTATGCTAAATAAAATCGATACCATGTTTGGGGTAACGTAGCTAGGAGAAGGTAAGATAGGTGGGTAGGAAAATATCTATATTTTTAATAATTTCATCTCCCTTTTGACGCGTAGTATAGTCTCAGTCTGTATAGCCCCAGGAAGTTATTAAGAAATTAACTTATGACTCCATATTCAGATTTCTATTTTGATATATATATAGTTCTTGATACATATATATATATATATATATTAATATATTGTATGTATGCGAGTAGAGAAACCAGGAGCGAGATAGAGAAAGGGAGAGGGAAATGGAGAGGGGAAATGTGAGAGGGAGGAGGAAGGGAATGCGGTGATGTGAAAAATTGAAAAGGCAGTATACCGGTATATATGGAAGGTGGGAATGCTAGGTATTCTAGCATAGATTTATATTGATAAAATTTCATCAGTAGACCCTAAATTTAAGGAATAGGAAGGAAGGCCTTGTATATAAGATACCCGCTGCATATACCGCCAGTACACAATCTGGCTACGTAGTGTGCTAGCGCTTGCGCAATATCTCACTAGAGGAGTTATATTTTGTGATGATTATGGATTTTGTATGGTCATGGGTACTTCAGCATAGATTTATTGCAATTAATTGTCATCGAGTAGACCTGTGTTTATAATTAGGAGAACGCCCTAGCCTATAGGGTTCAAACAAAACTCCTACTTCATCCCCACCCCCCTTACCCCTGCTTTCCCTTGCCCTTTGCTCATCCTCCTTTTTTCTTTCTACCGGCCTCAGCTATCTTCCCTGCTGTCTGTCCTCAGTATCTTCACCCTCTCTCACCCGGCAAGCTTCATATTATGATTATGCGGTCTTGCTCAGTCCGTACTGCATGCCTAAAACACGTGCTCCGCGATGGCGCAATATCTTCCGAAAGAATAATATTTTGCACATATTTTGCATTTTAAAATGGAAGAGAGTATTCTAGCATAGATTTATATAATAAGATTTTATCAGTAGACGTCATTTAAGAAATAGGAGGAAGGCCTTGTATGTAAGGTCCCGCCAGCATATACCAGCCAGTACCACAATCTGCTACGGTAGTGGGTTAACGCATGCGCAATATCTCACCAGGGGAGTTATATTTTGTGATGACTATAGAGTTGATATGGTCATGGGATATCGCAGCATAGATTTCTGCAATTAATTGTTTATCAGTAGACCTGTCCTTATAATTAGGAGAGCGTCCCAGCCTATAGGGTGCAAAACTCCTACTTCATCCCCCTTCCCTCCCTACCCTCCTAATTATAAACGCAGGTCTACTGATAAAAGTTATTAGCGGAAATCTATGCTGAGATACACCTAACCATTTTAAACTGCATATTCATCACAAATATATAACTCCTCTCGGTGATATATTGCGTATGCGCTAACACACTAAACGTAGCCAGATTGGTGTACTGGCTGGTATACGCAGCGGTGACACTTACATGCAAGGTCTTCCTCTTATTTCTTAGATGATGTCTACTAATGCGAATGTTATCTATAAATCTATGCTATGATAACTCCTCTACATTTTAAATGCATAATCTTTTGCAAAGTACGATTTCTCTCGGGAGAGATTGCGCATGCGCGCGCACCGTGTTTAGGCGTGCAGTCTGAGGCAAACTTCATAATATAGCTTGCCTGAGGGGGAGAGGGATGGGAGACTAAGGAAATTCGGCAGGAATAGAAGCTGGGGGCGGTAGAGAGAAGGAGGCTGAGCGAGGGACAAGGGAGGCAAGGGGAAGGACGCGTAGGCCATAAAGTAGGTGTTTTGTACCACTATATGCTAGGGCGCTCTCCTAATTATAAACACAGCTCTACTGATTAAAATGTTTATTTAGGGAAATCTATGCTGAGATACCCCCTAACCATTTTAAATGCATATTCGTCACAAATATAACGCTCTTGTGAGATATATTGCGCATGCGCTAACACACTAACGTAGCCATATTGTTGTACTGGCTGGTATAGTCAGCGGAACGTTACATGCAAAGTCTTCCTCCTATTTGTTAAATGATGTCTACAGATGGAATGTGTATCATATAAATCTATTGCTATGATAACTCCTCTTCATTTTAAATGCATAATCTTTCGAAAATACGATTGCTCTCGCGGAGATATTGCGCATGCGCGCGCACCGTGTTAGGCGTGCAGTGCCGTCTGAGGCAATCTCTAATATAACTTGCTAGGGGAGAGAAGGTGGGAGACGAGGGAAGGTGGCAGGGAAGACAGCGAGGGGCGGTGAGAGAAGAAAGAGTTGAGCGAGGGACAGGGGCAGGCAAGGGGCAGCGACGGAGGGCATAACATAGTGTTTTGTTACCCCACAAGCTAGGGCGCTCTCCTAACTATAAACACATGTCAACGGATAAAACTTTATTTGGGAAATCTGTGCTGAGATACCCCTACCCATTTTAAATGCATATTCATCACAAAATATAACTTCTCTGGTGAGATATTGCGCATGCGCTAACACACTAACGTAGCCATATTTGTGTTTACGGCTGGTATACGCAGCTGGGACCTTTCATGCAATATCTTTCTCCTATTTCTTAAATGATGCCTACTGATAGAATGTTATCATATAAATCTATGCTAGGATAACTCCTCTTCATTTTAAATGCATAATCTTTGCAAAATACGATTGCTCTCGGGAGATACTGCGCATGCGCGCGCACCGTGTTATGGCGTGCAGTTGCGTCTGAGGCAATCTCCATATATAACTTGCCTGGGGAGAGAAGGGTGGAGACGCAGGGAAGGTGGCAGGCGAGACAGCCGAGGGCGCGTGAGAGAAGAAGGGGGCTGAGCGAGGAACAGGGCAGGCAAGGGCAGGACGCGAGCCTCCGGCAGTATCCTGGGGGACATAGACCCTCTCAGCCTAACTATGGATCACTCCTTACCTTATAAATATATGTATGCTGCCACATACTGAGCAAGCACGAATACTGATATAAACGAATTTGGAAGATTGCGTCATTGCCGCGCCTCATCATTATCAATGTTTCACATTGATATTGTATTTTTCGTACAACTGGTTGTGAACACTCATGCTTCTTACTATTAAACTGTATAATTTTAACCAAATGTATTTTCTGTGAACTAAAGACGCAAGTCCTAATAACCGATTAATTCGTAAAGTACGAAATTATTAAAGCGCGCCGTAGAGGGCTTGTGTGTCAATGTACGGGAGCAAAGATACGGAGTACAACGTGACACGCCGGTCGGCTTTGCTCTCTCACAACAACAATCAGTTGAACGCAGAGCGTGAGGCCTTGCTTCTGTTGTGTCGTGTTAGTCGGTCCCGTGTTACTGTTTTTAGTTATGAAAAAACTACTGATAGCCAAGGTTGTTGTTCTAGTATACTGGGATTTTCACGAATCGCCAGAAGTAAGTAAATTACCGCTTTTTATGAGATGTAATGAGCGAACTAGAGCGACGTGTGCCTAATTTCACACAACTTTGGCAGTTTGCGGCGTTCGTACGGCTGGTGCTCGCCTGCGCCAGGTTAGGGGTAGAGTTAGATAGAGTTACGGCCCACATACTAACGTGTAGCAGTAGTTCAGTCAGTCAGCCAGTCGTACAATTGGTCTAGTAAACGATGAGTCCGCGGTGTGCGAAATTTTACTTTTATCATGTATTACTGAGTGAAACAAGAGTGATACATGACATACTTAGTAATTACATTGTGTTATGTATTATTATGTTATATTATAGGGAGTGTGAATATAGACTGCCTGATATTATGTATGTATAGGGTATGCTATGTTTTGTACTTGTTCGGTGGTCTTACACACTGAATATATAACTGTGCTTATTATATTATATGACTAATTGTAAGATTAGTTCATTTGTGTGTTAACTCCACGCACCCGTGGTGGACTTTTTCATAGTTGTACCATCAATATTGTAACCCAGACAACCTTTTTTGATATTTATGTTGAGTCTGTGTTTGTACGTGTGCCTGGAAGATTTTGCCAACGGCTTAGTACAAAAACGCCACGATGAGCTTCATAATGTTATAGTATACACGTTTACACACGGTCGGTACGCATATTGCACGCACATAGGACACACGGCTACGAACACGGATACGACACACGTACACAGGTTTCAAGATTTTTCAACGATTTTGAACATAATTTGACCGCAAGCACGCGCTGCACGCACACGCCACACGCCGCACGTGCACACACCAACACACACACACACACACACACACACACACACACACAACACACATCACACACATACACACGCACACACACAGTCACACACACACACGCCGCACGCACGCACGCACGCACGCACGCACGCACACACACACACACACACACACATCCAACCTTGCATAATGGCACCTAACCTTATACAGGTGCTGTATCGCATGTGTATGAAGCAAGCTGTATCAACAGCAATACTGCCACTAGCTAGCCACATTTCTCTGCTGCCAGTATGTGACTGATTCCTCACAGTTGCCAAATAATAAACGCGATTGTCCAATAAACGGGATTGTCCAATAAACGGTATTGTTTTTCTTCCTTTTCAGTATGCCCTCCACGGAATAGTGACCAGTGTTGTGCGACAGTCCACCGATTAGACAGTATGCGAGTGCATTTCGCATGTTGTGCTGTTACTGTTAACGCTGGGATGCAGTCACTCGTTCTGATACTCATCGGTTTAGCAACACTGGGTCAGTGTATCCGAAGAGAGCTCGAACATTCAGCGCATGACTTCACGCTCGTTCCTCACGATGGTAAGTCATGAGCATTCATTCCAGGTTGCGCAGACGAAACGTGGCATCGGCGCGGATTGCAAAACCCGGTTTGCCATCGGCGAGCATTTATCTGGGCTTTGAGTCACTGTAGATCATCACTACCATGAATGAACAATCTGAAAGGTACCCATCCTTATTATGTTATATTCGTTTATGTGGCCAGCTGTCGCTGTCCCGCGTGCAATACTAATGAGAGTGGATGAATGCTAAATGGTTAGACTGAAGGCAAACGTGGGTGCTATTGTTAGTTGAAGCGGGAATACCTATCTACCTGCCTTCCTACGTAGAAAACACCCACAGATCACCCGCCAGGATTCTTTGCGTTTCCGGACTTGTTTTCCAGAGGATGGATTAGGGAGGCGATTAGTGGATTGGATTTGTGGTGGGAATTAGTCGAGGAGAATGGTGGAAAAATCACCAGTGCAAAAAAATAACTAGCTCCTAAATTTCAGAATGCTAGAGGCTTTTTCGAAGATCGAAATGCTACTTGATCCCCTGGTAGTTTCTGTTCTAAATAGGAAATGCTTGGGCTGCATTAGTAATAATATTACCTAGCGCAGGTATCACAATGTGAATTTCATGCGTTCCAGATACTTATATAGATAATGTAATTTCGCGTGAGTGAGTATTGAAATCACAGACCAGGAAATGAATTCTACAGCGGGAGGCAGAATTCCTCTGCGTGTGCGCCCGTGTGTGTGTGTGTGGGGGGGGGGAGTGATTTTTACGCCTACATGTGTGCGAGCGTTAACTTATTCCTCTCGAGTCATTGAAGAAACGTGTTGCTCTTTACTCCTGTCGCTAGATTTTCGGTTCTTTAGGAGCAGCAAGCAGCCAGGCAGTGCGCGTGTGTGAAGGTGTAGGGCTGCCTTGTTTTGAAATCGGATCGTGGAAGCTCTGCCGTGCTGTCCAAACATACCCACGACTCAAACTAGCACGCTTCAAAGCTAAATTTCCTTCACACTGCTGATATATATATATATATATATATATATATATATATATATATTAATATACCAGAATAACAAAGACTCAATGTTTTATCTTTTTTGTGAAGCACATGCATTGGACTGCATGTGAAAATCAGAATGTTCGTTTTATATCTCTCAGCCGTGGGCCTAAATATAAAGCTAAACGATTTTGACTATAATCGTCAGAATGGTTACGATCCACCCGCGTGATTCAGAGCGGAAGCTAGAGCGTTTCGAGTGACTCTATAATCGCGTTAGTTGTCGACTGGCGTTTACTCGTCAACGTGCAGAGAAATAATTTACACAATCGATTTGTTTGCCTTTCAAAAACACAGGAGGAAATGACGTGATCCGCTGTAACGCGTATGTGCGTGATTCACCAATTACGACCTCCTCGTTTAAAAATCCCGTGCGGAGTCTTTCGCATGGCGCTTTGCCTGGAACCAGAATCACCTAATAAGGTGAAAGCTCGCGGAAACTGTGCTCAGAACCATCTCTTCATGAGGTGAAAGCTCCACGAGGAAACCTAATTGAGCTAAGACTCCGTCCTCATGGAATGAACAGTTCGCGTTGGAAGCCTGTGCGTGCGTGTGTCCGTGCGCAACGTTCACGCACATTACCGGCGGCTACGCATAGAGATATAAGTGGAGTAACTGTTAGCTGTCTGGGGAGGTGCGGGCAAACGCCCGTAGGTAGTGCACCCCTGCCCCCCCTAGTCCAGACACTGGCTTGTTGTCCAACCCGAATTCTGTATCGTAGCATGCACAGCACTGACACGCGCCCCTACTAGTTAGTCGCGGTCAAGAGAAGGAGAGAGAGAGAGAACGAGAGAGAGAGCCGAGAGAGAGACGAGAGACCGGGGAGAGAGGAGGGAGAGAGGAAGCGAGAGAGGAGGGAGAGAGAGAGGCGAGGGAGAGAGAGAGAGACCCGAGACGAGAGCAAAGGAGAGACGCGAGAGAGAGAGAGAGAGAGAGAGAGACAGAGAGAGAGCGAGCGAGAGAGCGCGCCCGCGAGCGAGAGAGAGAGAGAGAGAGACAAGAGAGAGCATCAGCAACGTAACAGTGCGTGTGCGCTGTGAGCATAAGTAGCAAGACTCTGGCGGCAAAGCGGCCCTGCAGGGATTCTCCCTTGCAGCCGAAACTACTGCCCCGCACTAACGGCAGTCAAGCTGGTTTATCGATTCTAGCTTCGTACATCAAAGACGTCTTCGTCTTGCGGAGCGCTGGCCACAGTTAATGGCCGCCACCTCCGTGGCCCGTGCGCCGTCACGCAGCCTTACATAATTCGCAGTCGAAAATTTATCTGCGCGCACCGTGCTATATCCTGCGCGATAGAAGATGCCGAACGCACTGCGCACCCGTAAACCCCCCCCGTCCAAGCATCCAATAGGATGCTAGCTCTGAAACCTTGAGAGCAGCACCTCAGACGTGTGCGCGTGTGCTTTTCGCTGCAGTGCTGGCTCACGTGGCCCCCCTAACGAATAGATCTACTGATGAACGACTGGCAATGTGAGCGCGTATTAAGTATACTGAGCCCGCCCTAATAACAGTAGTCTGTAATCGTTGAGATTGGAAACGCCAACGCACGACAACTAGGCGACGTCTGGGGAAGTCTACGCCTTGAAGGTTAAATCCAGCTTCGCGGCAAGCCGTGTAGGATGTAGTTAGTTGCTACAGGCGCCACTACAGGTAAAAGGTTGTTGAGATAAAGACATCTCCTGCATGGTTGACATATGATAGCAAGAAGGCGCCTATGCATACGGTAGCTATTTCTGTCGTTAACAGCATTTCGTGCCCTGAAATATACACTCATCGCGCTATATATCATATTACTAAATTATATATATATATATATATATCATATATATATATGGTTATGTATGTATAAGCTGCGAAGAGGGTGCGAGTATAGGCTGTGATCATGTATAGATAAGGGTCGTCTAGCCGCTGGTAGTAAGGAGAAGCCAAGGCTGGCCGCATATGGACGCTAGAGTCACTGTCCGGAGCCCAGCGAGGCCCGTGGCTGGCTTACGAGCCTAGCAGCTTCCCTCGTCGTGATGACAGCAGCCTGTGACCCAGCCTCGGTACCGCATCACAGAGGTTAAACGGACCGACAAGCCGAGTTCAGCTGTCCATCCATCTTCGGCGATCTGTCCACTAGTGTCGACGGCGATTGCACGGGGCGGACATTGGGTTCTCATTAGAGGCTGACTGGCGGGTAGAGAGCGGTGTAGCGCGTGGCAGGCATGTGTTCTGCAGCTTCGAATAGCCGCAACACGTGCCGAGCGATGAGCCATAGATGACAGCCTGCTCGGCAGCAGCATTGCATGCCAGCTTCCCCTCTCACAGCATCTCTCCCAACATCTTCCACTGGATTTCTCCCAGCATCCCCAGCATCCTCCCCCAGCATCCCCAGCATCCTCCCCCAGAATTCCCCCAGCATCCTCCCTTAGCATCCCCAGCATCCTCCCCCAGAATTCCCTTAGCATCTTTCTCCCAGCATCCCCAGCATCTTTCTCTCAGCATCCCCAGCATCCTCCCCCAGAATTCCCTTAGCATCCTCCCTCAGCATCCCCAGCATCCTCCCCCAGAATTCCCTTAGCATCTTTCTCCCAGCATCCCCAGCATCCTCTCCCAGAATTCCCCCAGCATCTTTCCCTCAGCATCCCTTCAGCATCTCCCCAGCATCCCTCCCAGCATCTTCCTCAGCATCTCGTGATAAGCAGCTTCCCGCATCCGCACACCGCTCTGCTAACCAGTCGCGCTAAGGCTTCGCGTTCGCAACCTAGACGGGCACCAGAAGTCCCTGGCTGCCGCGTAAGTGAATCACAGCGAGTTAGTGTGAAGACAGTCTATTCCTAGCCCGATGCTCACGCGTTCCCAGTCGCTCGGTTACGACTTGAGAAAGCCGAATTATATTTTCGTTTTGTTTTGCGGCTGGGTAAATATCGGGGGTGGGGGAAGGGGGCGACCACCGCGGGTGCGTTGATGAGTGGGGGCGTATTATATACATGCATGCGCCCGCGTGTTGAGTAACCAGTTTGCGCGTGTGAGTCGGTAGTTTCACGTCCCGCTCGCGTGTAGTGTGTTCCGATTACGGTCTTACTATAGCACCTACATAGTTCAGACATTACATTACATCAAGAGTAGATAATAACACATGTGTTATAATGTGTAATAACACATGTGTAATAATGTGTTATTATCTACTCTTGATTACATGATAGTGCCTGTGAGGTTAGTGAGCTCGTGGAGGTCACCGTTCGAAGAAACCAGGCAGATATTACGGGCAGATATTACAGATAAACAGGCAGATATTACGGGCGCGTGTAACAGTGCTGATCGCAAACTAGCTCTACCGGTGTAGCCTCTTCGCTCCTAGCTCTAGAACTATAGCTCTTCGCTCTGCCACAGGTCCTCTGCTCGTGACAGAGTGAAGGGCTATAGTCCTAGAGCTACTTCGCTCCTAACCCTAACCCTGCAGCGGCTACGCCGGTAGTGCTAGTTTCAACTACGGTGGGAAGCAATAGTCGTCGGCTCTCAGTATTAATATAGTACATGATTTAGCTTTCCGACGCGTTTATATCCGGTGTTGCTCCCCCGTCCCCTCCGTACGCGTTCGAAGAGTATTTGCACGCGTTGAACTACTACACGATGATGATTCAAGCTTGCGTTTCCCATCGCGCTGAAAACTGTTCGAAAAACAACCGTGGGTACGTAGTGTACGGTTGTTATGACGGCAAGGGTTGCTTGCTGCCTAGCACGTTCGCTGATTACAAAAACCGGACCCTGGAGTAAGTAGCTGTAAGATGAAGGTCAAATCGTAAGTGTGTGTCGGGGCCGCTTGCCTTGAACCGATTCCACCCCCTCCCCCCTTCTCCACTCCGGTAACCCCCTCCCCCTCCTACTCAGCAATAAATGCCTGTCTATATACTACTCTAGCCCCCTGGCCATGCTTGCCGTTCTGCACAACAGATTTACTGTAGGCGGGAAAACAATAGCGGACTGG